AAAGGATTTGTTCATAATTTACATAATATTTTTTTCATAGGCCTTCCTGAGGTGAAGAATACATTTCATTTTTGAATAGGTATCGTGTGTACATGGTACGTTTTAAAAGACAATGTAAACAGAGGTTTCCTCACACTCTTTCCCCCGGCCACCAAGTTCTTTTCACTTCCTAGAAACCACCATAACCAACATATTATGTACCTTTCCCCATCTGTGTGTGTGAGCGTGTAGAATTCTCTTATTTCAGCCTGGAGAGCATTAGTCTGATCTGACTGTAAAAGTTTTGGAAGTTGAGTGAGATAAGGGAGATGAAGGACTTCAAGCTTCAGTGTCCCTAACTTCATACATGTAGCCCCATAATTATGCCTGGGTTTCTCAGTTCAAAGATCCTCTGTTTTACTTTCTCAAGAGAATAAGCCTCCATCCAGTCTTCTAACAAGGGGAAAGGCAGTCACCCAACAGCGTGAAATGGGGAAGGGGATCTGGATATCCAATTGCTTCTCAGATTTCACCTAAATCATTTCTTTAAGCTCCTTACACCCACCTTCTGCACCACCACCACCTTCATTCCCAGTACCACAGCTGTCCAGTGCTGCCAGTTTCCGTGCAGTTTGAAGACTCTGTGGTTAATACAGGGTTTGCTAAGATATTGCCAGCGTTTCCTTTCCTATTCTCCTATTGTTGGAGGTTTGTTTTTGTTTTTAAATCCCCTTAATGTAATTTCAGTGAAACTTCATGAAGGAGTAAATTTAGATGCACGTAAACAATCACTATCTTAACTTAAAATGCTTCACTTTTTTTTTTTTTTTTTGAGACAGGTTCTCGCTCCGGTGGACAGGCCGGAAAATTCAGTGATGCAATCGTAAGTTCACTGCATCCTCGAACTCCTGAGCTCAAGCGATCCTCTCGCCTCAGCCTCTTGAGTAGGTGGGACTACAGACGCTCACCACCACGCCCGCTAATTATTTTAAAATGTTTTTGTAGGGACGAGGGTCTCCCTATGTTTCGCAGGCTGGTCTTGAACTCCCGGGCTCAAGCGATATCCCCTGCCTTGGCCTCCCAAACCGTTAGGATCCCAAGGCGTTTGCCACCTCCCGGTCTGCTTTACTATTTTTCAGACTTCACGATGCACAGTGTGTTCTTCACGGCTGGTGCACACATGCTGCTTTTCTTCAGAAACACGGAAAATGCCCCATAATACAATCCCCAAGCAATCTGCTCTAGGTCGTCTGGGTGTGTTTTTTTGAGACAGACTCTTGCTCTGTCCGCCAGGCTGGAGTGCAGTGGCGCAATCTCGGCGAACTGCAACCTCCGCCTCCTGGGTTCAAGCGATTCTCCAGCCTCAGCCTCCCGAGTAGCTGGGATTACAGATGGGCGCCACCACGCCCGGCTAATTTTTGTATTTTTAGTAGAGACAGGGTTTCCCCATGTTGGCCAGGCTGGTTTTGAACTCCTGACCTCAGGTGATCCACCCGCCTCGGCCTCCCATCGTGTTGGGATTACAGGCGTGAGCCACCGCGCCGGGCCACTGTCGTCTGGGTTTTCATCTCTGGCTTTAAGTTCAGAGAGGGCAGGGTTTCAAGACTGGCCCGGCCTCAGTGCCCTCAATGGCGATGGTGAAGATGACTGGCTAGAGGTGCTGCGCCCACGAAACGCCAGTGCTAGTGGCGTCCGGAGCGCCGGCTCCACGGGCTGGGCGGTCGGCGGAGTTCTAGGACAACTCCTACTCAAAGGGCTGGGCGATCACCTCCAGCGCTACAGCCCCTTCAACTTTCAGTTACAAACGTTCGTGCCCTGTTACGTCCACAGCATTACGCTGGCTGTCGTGGGGCAAACAAAAACGTTGAGTCCGAGTCTTACAGGGGGTCGGGTCAACAACCGCAGCAAACATGGAGAGAAAATTCAAAGTGGGTCTCACAGGCGTGCGGGGCTCGGCGGCATTCGGGCACGGGATCCGTTCCCTCCGCAAATGCGCGCTGCCGGGGCTGCCCCGCCGGCCGCCCCGGACGACCCCTCTCAACTCGGAGGCTGCTTCGAGCCAGTCACCCAGGACTGGCTGACGCGGTCCAGGTTAGCCCCGTCCGGCTGTCCCTGTCCGTACCAACCCCACACTCCGCCCTCCTACCCGGCAAAGCCGACGAAGCCCCCACCGGCTGGTGCCCGCGGGCACCGAACTTAACGGAACGCCTCCCGGTTCGGACCAACCGCGCCTGAGGAGCGACGCCCGCGAGCCTCAAACGCCTCAGGCGGGCCTGCCGGGTGCTCTCCCCGTCTCGTCTCCCAGGAAGCCGCCCCTCAGACGGCGGCGCCAACCGCCACCGCCGCACTTACCCGGGAAGGCAAAAGTGGCCGCGGGCACCCAACCGCCGTCACTCCCTTCAGGGAGCTGACTAGCGCGCTCGAAGCGACCGCCTCGCCTGCCCCGCCACAGCGATCGGCTACGACGCACGCGCGCGCAGGCCACGCCCCCGGGTGCGCGGGCCGGGCCGCAGAGCACGTCGGGAGCGTGAGTCTCCCAGCCCGCCACATCCTGGGGTGGTACGCGCGGAGAGGCCGAGGCGGGGGAAGGCGCCAGGGTGGCCGCCGCCTCAGCAGCACGCGGACGGCTGGAAAGTCAGCCCCAGTTTCCGCCTCCCCCAGGATTGCTCCACTCGGGGCTTTTCCTCATCCCAGCCACCACTCCATTCCGAGGCGCGATCAGCTCTGACCAGTCTCTTCTTCACATCCATAGTCAGATCGTTAGTCCCGTTAGGGTCAAACGCTTACAGAATCCAACCGCTTCGCACACTTCTACATGGGGTCACGCCTCCTGATGGTCGCTTCGTACCATCTTGCCCCCCGCCTGGGCCTTGTCGGCGACGCCGCAGCCACGTGGATGCTGTGGAAGCCTACCCGCGCCCCCCTACCCCGCCGGATCTTCCAAAGGCTCCGCGCTCATCGCCACAGCCAGCGGCCGGCAGTGGCCTAGGCTGTTGCACGCGATGGGTCCCCCACATCTCCCCTCTCTATCTCCTTTCCCTGGAGGCCCGGGGCAGCCCAGCCTCCGCTATCCTCACCATCACCCACCAGGCACGAACCCACGACGGCGGGCTTTTGTCCTGGCTTCTCCCTCCCAGCGTGGGCCGTGTCTTCTCGGGGTCGGCAGGGTGCGTGGTTTTCACAGCGAGGCCTCTCCTGATCGCCTCCTCGCTCTTCCTGTCCTTCCCTGGTCACCTCACGAGCTATGGATGTGTCTGTCTCCTCACTGCACTATAAGCTCCCAGGTGAAGACAGGGTTGCTTTTTGTAAATTTTTGTTTTCACTGTGAACCTCCTGTGTGTGAATAATGCTCAGAAAAAAAATATATATATATTAAATGAATGACTCTTCCCCAAGCCCAGTGCAGCCGGCACCTGCCCTCTTTTCTGTCACGGTACGTACAAGGAAATACATTCCACAAAACCACATAGTCACTGTCATTTATCACAAGTGTCTTCCCAAATTACAAAGTCTTAATACTTCCTTGTCTCCTAAGTTTTTAGCTGTGTTTTTTAAAAAAGTTTCTTTACATGCCATAAAATTCACTCATTTGAAGTGCACCATTCAATGATTTTCAGTAATTTTAAAACCATTTGCAACCATCACTATAATTTAAGAACATTTCCATTATCCCCCCGAAAAGTATGTGCACCGTTACAGTTGAGGTAGGAGATCAGCAGAACTTGTTTTCCAAGCACTGATCACCACCCGCTGAGCAAAACAAGATCCGGTCAGAACAGGATGCCCTAAAAAAACGTCCAACACTGCCCTAAAGAAACAGGCCCAAACCAGCTAAAACAAGGATGGCGACCAAAGTGACCTCTAGTGCCCTCACTGCTCATTATACACTAATTATAATATATTAAACATGCTACCACACTTCCACCGGCACCCTGACAGTTTATGAATGCCATGGCAATGCCCAGACCTTACCTTACATAGTTTAAAAAGGGAAGAATCCTCAGTTCCAGAGGAACTCCCCATCCCTTTTCTAGAAAATTTGTGAATAACCCACCCCTTATTTAGCGTACGATGAAGGAGTAGGTATTAAATATAGCTAGCCACTGGCCCGGTGCCCTGACTTATGCCTGTAATCCCAGCACTTTGGGAGACCAAGGTGGGTGGATCACCTGAGGTCAGGAGTTGGAGACCAGCCTGGCCAACATGGTGAAACCCAGCATGTACTAAAAACACAAAAATTAGCCAGGCGTGGTGGCAGGCACCTGTAGTCCCAGCTACTTGGGAGCTGAGGCAGGAGAATTGCTTGAACCCTGGAGGCAGAGGTTGCAAAGCCGAGAAGAGTGCACCACTGCACTCCAGGCTGGGCAACAGAGCGAGACTCCGTCTCTCTCTCTCTCTCTATCTATCTATATATCGATATAGATATAGATAGCTGTAGATATCTATATATATAGATAGATAGATATATAGCTAGCCAGCAATCCCTGAGTGTTACTCTGCCTGTGGGGTAGCCCTGCTGTGTTTACCAGAAGCAATTTTCCTGTGATTTGTTGCTCTCAACTTGCTTTGCTTTCATTTTACTGTCAGTTTGCTCTTGAATTCTTTCCTGTGCAAAGTCAAGAACCCTCTCAGGCTCAGCTCCAGTTTTGGGATTCACTGGCATTACAGCCATTCTCTGTTCCTACCCCTATCCCCGGGCAACCAATAACACAGTTTCTGTCTCTCTGGATTTCTCTTTTCTAGACAGTTCATATAAATGGAGTCCTACACTGTGTGGTCGTGTGCCTCTACCCTCTTGCACTTAGGATAATGTTTTCAAGGTTTGTCCATGCTGTGACATGCATCAGTACTTTGTACCTTGTTACAACTCATATATTTTTATTGCCAAATAGTATTCAGAATTTTTGAGTATCCATTCACCAGTTGGTAGACATTCGAATTGTTCATACTATTTTGTTATTATGAATTCTGCTGTGCCATTCAGAGAAACAGAAGGCGATGTGACGACAGAAGCAGAGAGATTTGAAGATGCCAAGATGCTGGATGGGAAGATGGAAGAGGGGCCTCAAGAAAAGAAATATAAGGACTGCAGCTCTAGAAGCTGGAAATGGCAAGGAAAAGTTTTCTCCTCTCCGAGACTCCAGAAGGAATCAGCCCTGCCAGTGACCTTGACATGAGCTCTGTGAAACTGGTTTCAGACTCTGACCTCCAAGACTGTGAAAGAATAATTTATGTTGTTTTCAACCATGTAAGTTTGTGGCAATTTATCATCGCAACAATAGGAAACTAATACAAAAGCTTTATTTATGAACCAAAAATTGAATTTCATATATGCTTCACATGTAATGAGATACTCTTCTTTTTATTTTTTTCAGCCACTTAGCAATGTTGAAATCATTCTTAGCTTGCAGGCTGTACAAACACTGGTGGTGGCTCAGATTGGGCCTGTGGGCTATAGTTTGAAATATCCTAAATTAAATATTAGTGCAATTAATTCAGCCATGTATTAAAATAATAATATGTAATAACCCTGGTTTGTGTTTTTTTTAAACCCTGGGGTTTTATAATGTTTCACAAATTAGAATGCTGTTAATGTAATACATTACAGATTAATGCAGCAAAAACAAAGCCAAATAAAACATGAACATTTCAATAGATGCCTTAAAAACACTTAATAAAATTTAATGCCTTTCCTATTGAAAAAGGAAATAAGTCAGTATTAGATTAGGGACCAGCCTGGCCAACATGGTAAAACCCGGCATCTATTAAAAATACAAAAATTAGCCAGGCGTGGTGGCAGACACCTGTAGTCCCAGCTACTTGGGAGCTGAGACAGGAAAATTGCTTGAACCCTGGAGGCAGAGGTTGCAAAGCCGAGAAGAGTGCACCACTGCACTCCAGGCTAGGCAACAGAGTGAGACTCCGTCTCTCTCTCTCTATATATATGTGTATATATCTATATCGATCTATATATAGATTGATAGATATAGATATAGATATAGATATAGATATAGATATATAGATATATAGCTAGCCAGCAATCCATGAGTGTTACTCTGCCTGTGGGGTAGCCCTGCTCTGTTTACCAGAAGCAATTTTCCTGTGCTTTGTTGCTCTAATATACTTGCTTTGCACTTAAGATGTTTTCAAGGTTTATCCATGCTGCGACATGCATCAGTACTGTTTTAATAGTGGTTGTTTATCATAAACTAGACCAAACATTTTACTCAACATTGAAAAATCTGTAACATCTTTGATGATCCAATCTAAACTAGCCACCACTATCTACCCCACTTTTTTCTCTGTAATACCCTGTTTTTATTTATGACAATCCATAATTATCTTGTTTAGTTTTTACTTGATAATTTTCATTCTTTTCCAGAATAGACAGCAATTGTTCACTTCTGTATCCTTAGAGCACAGTACAATGTGTAGCACATATTAGGTGCTCAAGATTTGTTGAATGAATTCCCATTTGTAATGCTAACTTTATGTGTCAAGTTGGCTGATTCAGGGTGCCTAGATAAGTGGTCACACATTATTCTGCATGTTTCGATGAGAGTGTTTTGGGATAAGATTACCATTTAAATCAGTGAACTGTGAGTAAAGCAGATTGCCCTCTGTAACATGGCAGGTGGTGGGGAGTGGGCGCTCATCCAGTTAACTGAAGGAGTAAGTAGAACAAAAGACTAGCCTTCCTTGAGCAAGAGGGAATTCTGTCAGCAGACAGCCTTCAGGCTTGAACTGCGATACTAGTTCTCTCCTGGGTCTCCAGCCTAATGGTCTTCGGACTTTAACTGCAGATGTTGGACTTGCTAGCCTCTAAAATTGTGTGAACCAATTTCTTAAAATAAATCTTTATACACGCACACACACACACACACACACCCCTCTATTGGTCATATTTACCTGGAGAATCCTGACTAATGAAATACCATTGCAGTCTGAAAGACAATAAGAATGCTTGTTGTCACCACTATTATTCAACATTATGCTAGAAGTTCCAGCCAATGCAATAAGGATAGAAAATAAATAAGATTATAAATATGGCAAAGAAGATACACTGTCACTTTCAAATATGATTGTGTTTGAGAAAAAACAAGTGAAATGTATTAGAGCTAATAAAATCGTTCGTTAAGGGGTTGGGTACAGAACATATATAAAAATCTACAGTTTTCTTAGCTACATTAAATAACCAGCTAGTGAGACCCTGTCTCTACAAAAAAACCCCAAAAAACAAAAACATAATCTTTGGAGCATTAAAAGACACTGAAATGAGAGTCTAAGACATGCCATAAAGTAGAACGTATGGAGCATGTACCACAAAGTACGAAATCCAGAATGTATGTCTATGAATCCACCAGAAAGTTGAACTACTTAGTAGGAAAATAATTAAAAATTTTACAGGAAAGGCAACACAAAAGGCTAATAACCACAAAATGGTCAGCCTCATTAATAATCAGAGAAAAGAAAATTAAAACATGTGTTACCATTGTGTACTAATCAGATTGGCAAAAAATTTGTCAGTCTGATAATATCAACTGTTAGCAAGAAAGTAAAGCAACTGCAAATTCTGTACAGCCCTGGAAAGAGCATAAACTGGGACAAACAATTTGGAGTCATTTAACATTATCTAGTGAAATAACAGATGTACATCCCTTATAACCCAGTAATTCCACTTCTAATCAAATGTGGCCAAGAAACATGAATAAGAATGTTCACTGCAGCACTGATTGACATTTCCCCCAAATGGGAGGAATCCAAATGTCCATCTGCAATGGAATGGTAAAATAAAGTGATCATATTTATATGGTGAAGTACTGTCCACATATAAAAAATGAATAAGGCTGGACGCGGTGGCTCACGCCTGTAATCCTAACACTTTGGGAGGCCGAGGCTGGCATAGCACTTGAGTTCAGGAGTTTGAGACCACCTTGGGCAACATGGTGAAACCCTGTCTCTACTAAAAATACAAAAAATTAGCCGGGCAAGGCAGGCACCTGTAATCCCAGCTACTCAGGAGACTGAGACAGGAGAATCGCTTGAACCTAGGAGGTGGAGGTTGCAGTGAGCCAAGATTGTGCCACTGCACTACAGCCTGAGTGACAGAGTGTGACTCTGTCTCAAAAAAAAAAAAAAAAAAAGGCAAGTAACAACAACAGAAATTTGATATGATTTCATTTACATCAATTTCAAAATAGGCAAGAGTAAACTCTGCTGCTTAGGGAGGTGCTATATGTAGGTGGTAAAACTAAAAAGCAAGAAAAAGATTATCACAGCCATCATGTTTGTGGTTACCTGGGAGCAGAGAGGAAATGTGATAAGGGGAGGCACTGTGGTCACCTCTAAGCAATGTTCTATTTCTGAACCGGAGTGGAAATGTCGAAGAAAAACCAGAGCTGGACGATAAAGTGGTAAAAAACAGATGCTATTCAGGACTATTGCAACAGGGGACAAGACATTTCAGTATAAGATTGGGCTCAATTCTGAATACAGCATGGTTAAATGGGCATTTATAGCCAAGGATCAGGGTAGGGAGTCAGTGGATGGAAAATTACTAAGAGGAAATGCATCAGGGTGACAGATATTCTGGTTAAATAGACCAAATGGGATTCTAGCTGAAAACAGGCCAGCATGATCAGACATGACTTGGGGGATGGTAGAGGGTGAGGAAGTAGATTAGATACAAAGCGTGGTCACATATGGAGGGTGGGGGATTTTTGTGAAACTGACTTAGCAGGGTTCTTGGTAAAATTGAATGTTATAAGGCAGTGCGCAGATAGGCCTATGACAAGGTTCAGGAGACTGATGAAAGGATAGTGATATGGTTTGGCTGTGTCCCTACCCAAATCTCATCTTGTGGCAGGCCAGGTCTCACTAACGCAGGCCTCCATACAACTGTTTCAGTACTGACTGAGTGGTAAATTAAATGTTAAAAGCTAGTGTCCTTATACAAAGGCTGGAATGTAACAACAGCCCACCAAGAATTTTGCCTAGGCCTTTCCTGAACCTTAAAGCATGATTAACCAAGTTTTACTGAGGGCCTGAGAAACTCCCAAGGCCTCCACAAACAAGTTTATTGGGAGTCTGAAGGAACTCCCTAAACCTCCGTGATTTAGTAGGAGGCAAGATAAGGGTAATCACCCCAGCACCTGGACTCATTTAGATTAAGTACATTTACTGAGGCTCCACAGGAAGGTCTTCAAGACTCAGAACTTAGTTATAGATTAAAAGAAGTTAATCACTTATGTCTTTAGATGAATGCACACTTAAACATAGATATATAGCTTGGAAGGTACATAGGCTCTGGAAAACTTTGTAATTTTGAGTTAGTCTGGTGATAATTTCCAGGCCTTCTCCCTGTAGCTGGTTACAGAAATAAAAACTCTCTTCCTCCCCAGTTCATCTGCATCTTGTTATTGGGTCACAAGAAATAGTAGCCTGACTCTCAGTTTGGTCAGAGAACAATCTTGAATTGTAGTTCCCATAATCCCCATGTGTCATGGGATGGTCCCAGTGGTAGGTAATTGAGTCATGGGGGCAATTACCCCCATGCTGCTGTTCTCATGATAGTGAGTGAATTCTCACAAGATATGATGGTTTTATAAGGGGCTTTTCTCCCTTTGTTCAGCACTTCTCCTTCCAGCAGGCATGTGAAGAAGGATGTATTCACTTCCCCTTCTACCATGATTGTAAGTTTCCTGAGGCCTCCCCAGCCCTGTGGAACTGTGAGTCAATTAAACCTTTTTCCCTTATAAACTCCCCAGTCATGGGTATGTCTTTATTAGCAGCGTGAGAATGGACTAATACAGTAAATTGGTACTGCAGAGAGTGAGGTGCTGCTGTAAAGATACCCAAGAATGTGGAAGTGACTTTGGAATTGGGTAATGGGCAGAGGCTGGAACAGTTTGGAGGGTTCAGAAGAAGACAGGAAAACATGGAAAAGTTTGGAACTTCCTAGAGACTTGGAGGGCTTAGAAGACAGAAAGATGTGGGAAAGTCTGGAACTTCTAGAGACTTGTGGAATGGCTTTGACCAAAATGCTGATCATGATATGGACAATGAAGTCCAGGCTGAGGTGGTCTCAGATGGAGATGAGAAACTTATTGGGAACTGGAATAAAGATGATGCTTGGTGTGCTTTAGCAAAGAGGCTGGCAGCATTTTGTTCCTGCCTTAGAGATCTGTGGAACTTTGAACTTGAGAGAGATGATTTAAGGTATCTGGCAGAAGAAATTTCTACATGGCAAAGCGTTCGAGAGGAAGCGGAGCATAAAAGTTTGGAAAATTTTCAGTTTGATGATGTAATAGAAAAGAAAAACCCATTTTCTGGGGAGAAATCCAAGCTTGCTACAGAAATTTGCATACATAACAAGGAGTCCAATGTTAATCATGAAGACAATGGAGAAATGTCTCCAGGGCATGTCAGAGACCTTCAAGGCGGCCCCTCCCATCACAGGCCCAGAGGCTTAGGAGGGAAAAATGGTTTTGGGGCCAGGCCCAGGACACCCCTGCCGTGTGCAGCCTAGGGACTTGGTCACTTGTGTCCCAGCCACTCTAGCTGTGGCTAAAAGGGACCAAGGTACAGCTTGGGCCATGGCTTCAGAGGGTGCAAGCCCCAAGCCTTGGCAGCTTCCATATGGTATTGAGCCTACGGGTATATAGAAGTCAATAATTGAAGTTTGGGAACCTCTGCTTACATTTTAGAGGATGTATGGAAACACCTGGATGTCCAGGTTGGTTTGCTGTGGGGGCGGAGCCCTCACTGCTAGGGCAGTGTGGAAGGGAAATGTGGGGTTGGGTCCCACACAGAGTCCCCACTGGGGTATTGCCAAGTGGAGCTGAAGAGGGGCACTATCCTCCAGACCCAGAATGAGAGATCCACTGACAACTTGCAGCTTGCACCTGGAAAAGCAGCAGACACTCAATACCAGCTGTGGAAGCAGCTGGGGTGAGGGTCTGTGGCCTGCAAAGCCACAGGGGTGGAGCTGCCCAAGGCCGTGAGAGCCCACCTCTTGCATCGGCGTGACCTGGATGTGAGAGATGGAGTCAAAGATTATTTTGGAGCTTTAAGATTTAATTACTGCCTTGTTGGATTTAGAGCTTGCATAAGGCCTATTGCCCCTCGTTTTGGCCAATCTCTCCCATTTGGAACGGGTATATGTACCCAATGCCTGTACCTCCATTGTATCTAGGAAGTAACTAACTTGCATTTGATTTTACAGGCTCACAGGTGGAAGGGACTTGCCTTGTCTCAGATGAAACTGTGGGCTTGGACTTTTGGGTTAATGCTGAAATGAGTTAAGACTTTGGGGAACTGTTGGGAAGGCATGATTGTGTTTTGAAATGTGAGATGTGAGATTTGGGAGGGGCCAGAGGTGGAATGATATGGTTTGGCTATGTCCCCACCCAAATCTCATCTTGAATTGTAGTTCCCATAATCCCCACATGTTGTGGGAGAGACCTGGTTGGAGGTAATTGATTTATGGGGACAGTTACCTTCATGCTGTTCTTGTGATAGTGAGTGAGTTCTCACAAGATCCGATGGTTTTATAAGGGGCTTTTCCCCCTTGGCTTGGCGCTTCTCCTTGCCACCATGTGAGGAAGGACTTGTGTGCTTCCCCTCCCACCATGATTGCAAGTTTCCTCAGGTCTCGTCAGCCCTGTGGAACTGTGAGTCAATTAAACCTCTTTTCTTTATAAATTACCCAGTCTCAGGTATATCTTTATTAGCAGCGAGAGAACTGATTAATACAGGTGGTCAAGCAAAGAATCTTTGTCAGTGATTACATGGATGTTTTCTTATAATTAAATTGCAGATATATATTTAAATTGCAGATATACATTTTATATTCTTCTGTATGTCTATTTCAAGATTCAAAATATTTTAGAAAAAATTATTTGACTGGAAGATGAATGGAAGAGAGAATATTAGGTAAAGGAATCTGTAGAATATGATATATGGTTCAGTGTTCAGATTTTTAGTTCTTTTTAAGTTCTTTTAACTGCATTTCAAAGTGATTTTCATTCATTCATTTACTCATTGTGTTAAGGCCATTTTTGTGTTGCTACAAAGAAATATCTGAGGCTGGGTAATTTATAAAGAAAAGATATTTATTTTGGTTCATGATTCTGCAGGCTGTATAGGAAGTGTAGTGCTAGCATCTACTTCTGGAGAGGGCTTCAGGAAACTTCCAATCATGGTAGAAGGCAAAGGGGAGCCAGGGTATCATGTGGCAAGAGAGGGAGTAACACAGAGAGAGGGGGAGGTGCCACACCTTTTAAAACCACCAGATTATGTGAATTCACAGTGAGAACTCACTTGTTACTGCAAGGATGGTGTCGGGCCATTCATGAGGGATCCACCCCTAAGATACGAACACCTCCCACCAGGCCCCACCTCCACCACTGAGAATTACATTTCAACATGAGATTTGGAAGGGACAAACATCAAAACTATATCACCCATTAGATATTTATTCAGTCTTTCTAGTTGCTGTCACTCTATTAGACGTTAGGACTACCCAGAAGAAAGGCCTGGTCTCTGAAATCATGGCACTTAAAATCTAGTAAGGGTAAAATATGTACTGAAGGATGTCTAAGCTGGATGAAGAAGAGAGGGCCAAGACATTCCAGGACAAAGGAAAGGCATGGGCCAGGAAGGTAAGGACACAGGCATCGACAGAACTGGGAGAGGACTCGTTCTTCCAGAGGACTGGATTGACATTAGAAAGTGCTGAGAGATTTGACTAAAGACGCAGGTAGAGGCCATATGATGATTGGCCTTGTATGAACTATTAGCTAGAATTAAGTTTGGCTGAATACCCACAATAATACGGGCTTAAAAGGAGACAGGGGTTCATTGCTTTGTCATCTAAAACCAGTCTGGGCAGGTGGTCTGGGCTGCTGTGCATCAAGGACCCAGATTCCCTCTGTTTTTACTGCTCCCTGTTCCAAACACAGCTAATAATTAGCACAACATAGGCCTTTAAAATAAAGGAGGTTTTATTATAAAATTCTAAAAATGTACTTTAAAGTACAGTCATGGGAATACTGCATAATGAGTAGAAATGTGTCTTCATACTGCAAACAATCACACAGATATTATATTGTCCATGGAATTAATACTTTAAAAAATTCTTCTTTTTAGTTAAGAAGAGTCTTCAGAGCACCATTATTTTAATAGAAGTTATTTTGCATATCAGAGTTCATCTTTGGTCTGCAATTAAGAAGCAAAATATTTAGAGCTATCAAGAAGTCTTACACAAGTGAAGAAGACTTACATTCATTTGTTAATTATTTTCCTGTAAAGATGAGAGGGAGCCAAGCTGCCGCTAGAGGCTTTTAGGGCTTGGCACTATTTCCAGAGGCCCAGAGTCAGCTAAGGGTAAAATCACATTGTGTTCCATAGCCTACTGATAAGGAACCCAAACATCCATGGGCTGTACTACTGTAAAGGCCTTGTGTTATGAACAGTAGTGGTGAAAGGTTAGGATAGACAATGAGCGAAAAATAAAGCTACCATTCTGGCCCCTAACTTCTACTAATCAGTGGAAGATACTGGCTGGGTACCTCCTCTCAACCACATAGATGAAGATAAACAATTGAGCAGAAGTGGAGCAAGGAAGCTGCCTAGTCTCACTTAGAGCCAAAGTGAAAAATGTTCTGATACCTAATCACAGATTGGTGAGGGGGAACCTTTCCATTTGGCAATTCTTGTTTTGTCATTGGTTTTAACTGATTTTTACGGACCTGGAACACTGATAGAGTTAACAATGATGATGAACTACCTTTGAGGGCCAGTTGGTTAGTGGTAAATGAGTTCTACAAAAAACAAAGACAAAAATAAAACAACCAAAATTCTGATTTGTAGCATGTGCTGATTGTCATGGTGTAAATATCTTATCAGGCTGATTCCAAACTACCAAAAATTTAACCAATATGCAAAATTCCCGAATATTTATCAACGGGTGAGCTCATATACGCTGGTTCTGTCACATCACTGGGGCCGGCCTCACCTTAATTCCTTTTACACCCCCTTGAGAGGTATACATAATAATTGCCAAATCTGCCTTCTTGTCTTTGGTTATAATACCACAATTTTGAACTTGTCCATTCAGAAACATAATTATGTTGCTTAAAATGTCAAGTCAGCATATGTTACACATACACATACACATACACACAAACACACATATACACTCTATTTTATGCAATTTACATTCCTTCAAACAGAAATTATAATCAAAGCAACAGTCCCCTGCCACACTATGTCTTTATATACAAACACACACAATCACAATCTGATGATGAGAGATTGGTTTTTGCTTTGCCATAATCCAGCTAGATGATTTTGACCACAATTCCTTTTTGGGCTCAGTTTTGTTAACCATAAAATGAAGGCATTTACTCGATGACTTCTAAGGTCCAATTAACCTTAAAAGTCCAGATGTGAACCTGACTTTCATTTTTATCAATGAGATCCTTAAGTAGTGGTATCAACAGAGATGATTTTCAAATGAAGAATTGGAAAACATCAATAATCGTGGTTACATATTTTTCCTTCTCTAAACTGGGATGATGAACTTTGCCAAACTTATCTCACGAGGAGATGAGGGCATCAGATGATACACATGAAAATATTTTTCAGACTGTAAGCATCCATTCAACTAGGGTGTGAGCTGGATCCTCACATTATAAAAGGCTTCCCTCCACTTTGCTAGGGAGCTACCATGTCTTCTCAATTATCTGCATTGTAGCATCCTTTCTTGAGCACTGCTGTCTTCTATACCTATCTCTCTGGCAGACTGAATTGCTTGAAGACCTCGAGAGGAACTCAAATATTTGCTGCCTGACTGAATGACTATAGGAATGAATGCAAGTTTGGATCAATGTTAGTTTTTATCCTGACACTGGTCATAAGCTCAGTTCTGGTTACCTTTTTCCTGTGGCAAGTACAAGGGAAGAGGTCATCCTCAGTCTGTGGTTGTACCCTTTTCATGCCCTCTCGGATCTGGGGCTCACTCACTTGTAAATTGGCATATTCCTGTTTAAGCAACAACATAAAAGCATTCCTTATACAACACTTTATATCCACCCAATGAGACAGGCTAGAATACATGAAGACTATGATTCATTTAACTTATGTGCGTCAAACTGTGATCTGCATAGTCCATCATATATACTAGTTCTGAACACCAACAGTAGAGCATCTGAGAGGATGAACACTGGCTGCCTATTCCTAACAGATATCTCTTTATTCTATCCTACATTTCCATGACTTTTTTTTTTTTAACCATCTTCTGCCTTACGGTAAAAATAATTTTGCACACAATCTTCCCTAGACTGAGAATGTGAAGACAGAGACTATTCTGCTTTCCTTATCATGGCTTGGACAAGCCTCCATCATCATCTTCATTTATCATGTGCTTACTCTGAGTAAGGCACTGTGCTAAGTACCTATGCTAAATGAATGAACATTGCCCCATGGATGCTTAGAAATTCACATGGTAAATCCCCTGAGTTTATTCATTTTACACGGTTTATCCTCCAGTTCCCTCCACCAAGGGAAGGTTACAAAATGGGGAGGAGCCAGTACAGGCCAGAAATACACCAACTTTGATCTGTAGCAGAACCTCAGATATGGGGCTCAGTATCTGCAACTGTGAGATAAAAATCTTACTCTAGATCTAGTACTATTATTAGCCAAGAACTTGTTTATTACTTTTTTTTTTTTTTTTTTTTGAGACAGAATCTCACTCTTGTCACTTAGGCTGGAGTGCAGTGGTGTGATCTTGGCTCACTGCAACTTTCACCTCTTGGTTCAAGTGATTCTCCTGCCTTAGCTTCCCGAGTAGCTGGGATTACAGGTGTGCACCACCATGCTTGGCTAATTTTTGTATTTTTAGTAGAGACGGAGCTTTTCCATGTTGGTCAGGCTGGTTTCAAACTCCTGACCTCAGGTGATCCGCCCGCCTCGGCCTCCCACAGTGCTGGGATTACAGGTGTGAGCCACTGCACCCGGCCTACTACCACATTTTAAAAAGAGTCCTCTAAATGGTCAGATATGCTTGATTACAATCTCTAAATGCTCGGGTCCATGGATATAATTTCCAAGGGAAGTCATGGCTCATATGGAGTCAGCACAAGAGGCCCAAACACACTTGGCACTGTTTAGACAAAGATATGGTGAGGCAGCAGCAATGTAACACAAAGAGAACATACAAATCTATGCACCATAACTGTGTATGATCAGAGGCCAATTTCTTAGTCAAACATCACATAGTTCTAATATTAATACTTTTCACTTAATATTGTAACATTTTCCATTAGCTAATCTTTGGTTTTCAACTATTTTTATGATTACTTAATATTTGTCTCTGATTTTCATTCACAGAAGTGTATATATATACTTCTGATACATATATATATATGTATCTCCCTATAGTAACATATGTTTAGAAATTGTTAAGTAAAATATTATTTGTTTTTAACATGTCTACTTATAAGTTATGTGATAATTTTCTTGGAAAATACTGACCTGGAAAAGTTTGAAATAATAACAGAATATGTCATCGCCCATGAGATTATTTCTTGCAAATTCTTGTCCTGCTTTTGCTATCTTTTTGGCCTACAGGAAGAACAATGATAAAGTCCTGTAATAGAATCCATTTTTCCCATGCAGGCATCTGCAAACTGCTCTTCAGAATACGTATACATTGAGGCAATTGTGGGAAATAATATCTTTGGGGGTAGTCTCATATCGTAAAACAGAACATTTAACAGAGTATGTTTGTTTAAATCGGAGGGAGGTTTCTAAGACTTGAAAGTTTGAGAAGTCATATTGGACATTCTAGAATTAAGCCTCTCTTGGAGAGACAAGGTGTACACCAAGCAAACTAATGACGACTTTGTAAACGCAAGATGAAGCTTAGCACACTGCCTTCACAAATTTCAGCAAACAATTAGCTTAAAGTTTATTGCATTCCATCCCTCTTTATTTATCTATTTATGGCTGCATCTACTTCTGAATCAATCCCTCATTTTAACCTGTAGCCAGTTAGTGACTCCTGCCAGACTGGCCATCTTATAATTTTCACATTGCTAGTGGAGGTAAAGCTTGTGGCTCAGAGCAACCCTACTAAAAGAGAAAGTGTAATCAAGGCCACAGTTCAACTTTTTGTTGTTGTTGTTGTTGTTTTTTGAGACAGAGTTTTACTCTTGTTGCCCAGGCTGGAGTGCAATGGTGTGGTCTCAGCTCACTGCAACCTCCGCCTCCCACCCAGGTTCAAGTAATTCTCCTGCCTCAGCCTCCCCAGTAGCTGGGACTACAGACACCCATCACTACGCCTGGCTTATTTTTGTATTTTTAGTAGAGACGGGGTTTTACCATGTTAGCCAGGCTGGTCTCGAACTCCTGACCTCAGGTGATCTGCCTGCCTCAGCCTTCCAAAGTGCTGGGATTACAGGCATGAGCCACCGCAACCCGGTTAGTTTTTTGTTTCACATGCAGAGTGGAGAGTTAATGTAAGATGCAGTGCTCGCTGTGTTCAGCCCAGAGGAACTGCCGTGCCATCCATGAGCAGGCAGCTTCCCATTTACAGGCCAAAGTCTATTACATGAACATCCTGGATGCTCTCCAGGTACAATACATTTCAAAGGGACCCATGATATTGGGAAACAAGTGGAAATAAGCCTTCAAGGAGACTAACCTTACCTCTTCATCGTGATCTTTTGCCCATTTAAGTTTTTCTAGCAGATCGCTCAGGTTGCTCTTAACTGGAATGTAGTGTTTCCAGGGCTGCAGCTCATTATAAAAATGTTCATAGTAGATGGAGTCCTGCTTCAGGACAACACTGTCACCAACTAGCAAATATGGCAGGCGGTAAGCTGCCACAGTGCCATCGATATTTATTTGATACTTATGCTGCAAAACAATGGTAAAGTCTAAGAACCTCCATTAAATTTCCTTTTCTCCACTCTATTTTCCTTCCCAACCCACACATAAACCTTTGCAATCCTCAGACACAATTTGGCCAGCTTCCATGCTCTGCCTTTGCCATTTAGTAAGCGTCATTATACAACAGGTTGATCTAGAGCTAAATGCTTGATGTGCTCCTAAATTTTACAAAGGAGGATACAAATCTAGTGTTGAAGCAGCCAATAAAATCATACTGTTGTCCTAAGGCTGCAACATAAGGAAGGATAGATTCATTTGTGAGTTTTTGTAATTCTCCTACTACTTTATTGATTGCAAACCTGCCCCTCATGATGGCACATTCTGAGCCATGTTAACCATATTATTTATGTATTTATTTTGAGACAGAGTCTCGCTCTGTCACTCAGGCTGGAGTGTAGTGGCGTGATCTCAGCTCATTGCAACTTCCACCTCCCGGGTTCAAGTGATTCTTGTGCCTCAGCATCCCAAGTCGCTGAGATTATAGGCATGCACCACCACACCCAGCTAATTTTTGTATTTTTAGTAGAGATGGGGTTTCACCATGTTGGCCAGGCTGGTCTCGAACCCTGGACCTCAGGTGATCCGCCCACCTCAGCCTCCCAAAGTGCTGGGATTACAGGCGTGAGCCATCACGCCTGGCTAACCATGTTTTTTAAACACCCAGACATATGTCTTAAAGAAATTAACAAGCTGTGGAGCAAGAACACCTATGAATAAAAATATTCATAGAACTGTAGTAATCTTTCATCTTTAGTTGCAGTAAATTCAACAGGTAGGAATAAAGCCAAAGCAGGATGCAGCATCCCTCCACTGAGGAAGGATGACTAGTGTCCTTGCACTTTGGTTATAATCATTTCTTTCAAAAATCTTTGGGATATGCATATAGAAAAATACAGACAATCCAACTTCTAACATTCTTTAGAAGATTGTGTGCCTCAACACAACCTGTCAAAAGAAATCCTGGTCATCTACAGGGCAGACAGAACTCCTTAATCACTTGTCTTCCCACATACAGAAGACAGATGACGACCTTTTCCCCACCTCTCTCTCTACCACGGGGGACTTCAGAAACAGCTCCGCGGTCTAAAGAGCAGGGTGCTGCCCACTGCCTTAAAAAGGGAGTTGTTAGAAAAAGGACTACTCCCCAGGAAACACGGGGAATCCACATTCTAGACACAGAAAGCAAACCCTAATTCCCAGGCAGAACATTTGGATGGGTTTCAAGTCATTCCCCATGACAAGGCCTGATAAGAAACAAATAGTTTCTATCTTCCTTATTCTGTGGTGATAACATGGCTCTGGGGAAAGTATTTGTAAAATGACTTACATGTAAGTATTATTAAAAACATATTTGGAGGTGACATGTGCTTATCTCAAGGGTTAGCTGGAAAAAAATTACAGCTCTATCCAGGCTCCAAACTCCCTTGATGCACATTTAATGTCAAGACTAGGCAGTGAGGGCAGATCCTGGTTGCCAAAACAGTCCCCAGCACCGCCATGCCTCGATATTCACTCAATTTTGTGCGAACTTCTCCCACCTCTTGTAATTTGCAGGCCTCAATTTCCCTTCCCAAAGCACTATGTACAAATACATTAGAAAAACAAAAAAGATTAGCCACTGATTAAGTCATACCTTGAAGAAATCAAAAAATGAAATGTGTTTCACAATGGGACCATACAGGCTTTCATCGTGTTTAAAGAAGAAAAAGTTGGTGAAAGCAGCGTCTATGAGTTCCGGGTGTTTTCTACTGAGTTTAACCAGCTCGAGTCTCTCTTTGCGGCTGTCTCGCCCTCTCCAGACGGCAGTGGAATTTTTGCTTTCCCAGGGAGGACCCGTGTTAGCTTGCACGGACATCATATCCAGACTTACCCTAGAAAACAAAGTGCAACAGATTTTCCTCCCAAATCATCATGTCACAAAGGTTGTTGAAAAGAACTCATCAAAGAAAGAAAACCAAGGCTTTGGGCCAACCCTGACTTCTCTCTCACCGGCCCATGGTTTCCAGAACAGAATCAGTCAAGTCGTAGGTAGGCATCACGATATCCTTGGAATCTGTGGAGCCACACCAGGAAAAGATCGGATGGATGTTTGCATTGGATTTCTTTTTTTCCAAAGGCCAGTCTCCCAAATTAACAAAGAACTCCATATCTGGCATCTTCACCTAGAAAAAACAAAACAAGAAGCTTATTCACATTTCCTGCATTGGATAATACATTGTATTTATCAATTTAAATTTGAAATTGCATTAATGAAAGGCCAATGTTACATGTTTTAGGTAATGATAATTACCTTGGTTTGAATAGTGGGCAATTTTTCAGAATATGGTCACATGTATAAGCATTCTACGCTCCCTACGAAAGGGATGAAATGGCAAAAGTAATCTCTGTTCTAATACTGCGAACAGCCTCTAAGATGATCAAAGAGAAGGAGAATTATTGGAAAATAATTTAAAAATTAGCACTTGGGACTCTAACCCTAGTTTCTTGCTAGTGAGCCAATGGTTCCATTTTAAAAAACATACACCAGGTAGGTGGTGGGACCAGGATTTGAACTTAGGAAGCCCAACACCAACAGCAACATAGTAAGTTTCAAGCTATGCTTCCTTCCTTTACTGGCAAATGGCATAAATAGTAAAGAGGATCTGTTTTATCTAGTCACAGAAAATGTTTAGAGTATTTACAAAACAACAGATATATATTTTTAAGGCCAGACCAGCACTGATCAGTCTGAGAAGCATCTTGAGAAACTGAAGTCCTGAAGAACATTCTCATTTTCCCAGAGATTGACACAGAGGAGCAAGAGAAGTATGACAGTACTCCGATGTCTTAGTTTAAAGGAGGTTTAATATTGATGCTATATAACTACCTACATTCAGAATTAACAGACTGTACTGTGCTTTGAAATCTCGAAAAGAAAGGCATTATGATTTTCCATGAGTAGTTTAATCAAGAAACACATGCAAATTATTGAATAAATAAATATTATAATGGATTATAAATAAATACACATTTGGTAAAAATGTCGGTAGAGTCTTTCACATCCACTATTTTGACATTACTTTCAAACCATTCCACTAGAACCCGACAAAAGCCCATTATTCCAAGGAATGGGATTCAGTACAAGGCAAGTCATCTTTGGACTCAAAGTTAGTTTAGTACCAAAATAATTTTATGATAAGGCATTTTTCTTTCCTCTATAAAATACTGTGTCCCTGCAAAAGATATGCTGAAGTCTTAAACCCCAGTGTCTCAGACTGACCTTATTTGGAAATAGGGTTGTTGCAGATATTAGTTAGGATGAGGTCATACTGGAGTAGGCTGGGCCATTAATCTACTATGCTGTGTCCTTATGAGAAGAAGAGACCCAGAGACATGAGGGGAGAAGCCCACGTGATGACAGAGGCAGAGATGGGAGGATGCAGCTGCAATCCAGGGAACACCAAAGATGGAGGGTCACTGCCAGGAGCCAGGAAGGGGCAGGAAAGGAAAGGATCATCTCAGAGGGAACTGGCCCTCCTGACACTTTAGTTTTTTTTTTCTGAGACAGGATCTCACTCTGTCACCCAGGCCTTGGGAGTGCAGTGGTGTGATCTCAGCTCATGCAGCCTCGACCTCCTAGGTTCAAGCAATCCTCCTGCCTCAGCTCCCCATTAGCTGAAACTACTACAGGCTAATTTTTGTATTTTTTTGTAGAGACAGGGTTTCCCATGTTGCCCAGCCCGGTCTCGAGCTCCTGGGCTCAAGCGATTCACCCGCTTCGGCCTCCTAAAGTGCTAGGATTACAGGAGTGAGCCATGGCACCTGGCTGACACTTTGATTTTGGACATCTGGCCTCCATAACTGCGAGAGAATATATTTCTTTTAAGTCTTTCAGTTTGTAGCACTTTGTTACGGCAGTCCTAGGAAACAAACGCAGATACTGAAATAACAGAAAGCTTCACAACAGTATTATCATGAGGCTCCAGAAGAGAATACGCTGATAGTGTTAGAATTTGTATTTTGAAAAATTATCCTGTAAAATCTGGGCTTAAATGATCTATTACAGCTAAGAGAAAACATACCTTTCTAGTCAAAGAAAGTAGTATGGCATCCATGAAAATTCTAAAACCTACATGTTCACCGTGAGTCTTGATATAAACCTAAAAGAGAATTTACCATTTATTATGTTAGTCTAAAAACACTGGCAGATTTCACTGAGGAAAAGCTTGTCACAATGCTCATTCGAATAATGTTTATAACATGATTTAGCTAATTGTAGCCAAATGTTCAAAACAAGCAAAAAAAAAATCACTAAAACAAACAAGCAAACCTGAATCGCGTGTTGTACCTTGTTATCCTTTAAGGTGTAGTGACACAGGCTCTGCCTCTGTCCAAATCTTTTTGGGATTTCTACTGCAATCTTTTCTGGATCCACAGTAGGGAAATGTGCCAAATCTCTCTGAATCTGAGCAATGGTTTCAGGGCAGTTCATCTCCTGTAGCCAGGCTGCACTATCTTGCAACGGACAGTCACAATTCTCATGGTAAACCGGCCCTATTTACATAAGAATAACAAAGCACAACAGTGATAATTTCACTCAGCATTTGAAACTTGTAATAAGTATCTATAATGTGGCTTCATGAGTTTTGCCTAGTTACATAGGAAGAGCATTTTCATTGAAAACACATTTTAAGAGAATTACAGGCCAGTGAGGTGGGCTCATGTCTGTAATCCCAGCACTTTGGGAGGCTAAGGCAGGAGGACAGCCTGAGCCCAGGAGTTCGGGACCAGCCTGGGCAACACAGGGAGACCCTGTCTCTACAAAAAATAAAAAATTAGCTGGGTGTGGTGGCATGCACCTGTGGTTTCAGCTACTTGGGAGGCTGAGGTGGGAGGATCACTTGAGCCCAGGAGGTTGAAGCTGCAGTGAGCCATGTTTGTACCACTCCACCCTGGGCAAGACAGTGAGACCCTGTTTCAAAGAAAAGAAAAAAGTAATACATTTTTACTATATTGGGGCATTACAAGTCAGTCAGTCTTCTCCTCTGACAGCTCTTCACAGTGAAGTTTTGTGATATATTCATAATAAGGTCTACTTTGCATGAGTTCAAAAGAAAGCAAATAGAGGCCGGGTGCAGTGGCTCACGTCTGTAATACCAGCACTTTGGGAGGCCGAGGTGTGTGGATGACTTGAGGTCAGGAGTTTGAGACCAGCCTGGCCAACATGTTGAAACCCCATCTCTACTAAAAATACAAAAAAGTTTAGCTGGGTATGGTAGTGTGTGCCTGAAATCTCAGCTACTCGGGAGGTTGAGGCATGACAACAGCTTGAACCTGGGAGGTGAATGTTGCAGTGAGTGGAGATTGTGCCACTGCACTGCAGCCTGGGTGACAGAGCAAGACTCTGTTTCAAAAAACAAAAGAAAGCCAACAGGTACTTAGTTTATGTCTATGGTATATATTACAGCTCATTATTCCTTATGTTTTGTAGACTGAAGAATAACCAAATACTGGTAAAAGGGTATCAGAGGGGCATACCTATTTTAATGAAAGACAAAAGTGATATGATTTAATATTTTGATGGTCTGTTATACAAACAGGTTCTTAAAGTGTCTAAGGTACTTTTCTCAATAAGTAAATCATCAATAACAACGAAAATAAACAAGGAACTGCTATTCTGGTTTTTTTTGTTGTTGTTGTTGTTTTTTAGGAATTATTAAGAAGCAAAAGTAGGCTGGGTGCCCTGGCTCACGCTTGTAATCCCAGCACGTTGGGAGGCCGAGGCGGGCGGATCATGAAGTCAGGAGATTGAGACCATACTGGCCAACATAGTGAAACCCCGCCTCTAATAAAAATACAAAAATTAGCCAGGTGGTGTGGCGCGTGCCTGTGGTCCCAGCTATTTGGGAGGCTGAGACAGGAGAATCGCTTGAACCCAGGAGGCAGAGCTTGCAGTGAGCCAAGATTGCGCCACCGCACTCCAGGCTGGCGACAGAGCGAGACACTGTCTCAAAAAAAAAAGAAGCAAAAGTAGCTGGGTACAGTGGCTCACGCCTGTAATCCTAGCACTTTGGGAGACCGAGGTGGGCAGATCACTTGAGCTCTAGGGTTCGGGACCGGCTTGAGCAACATGGTAAAACCTTGTTTCTACAAAAAACACAAAAATTAGTGGGGCATGGTGGTGAGTGCCTCTAGTCCCAGCTACTCATGTGGCTGAGGTGGGAGGATTGCTTGAATCCAGGAGGTTGAGGCTGCAGTAAGCAGTGATTGCACCACTGCACTCCAGCCTGGGCAGCAGAGCGAGTCCCTGTCTCAACAGCAACAGCAACAAAAAGAAGCAAAAGTAATTCTCAAAACAGTCCACTTCACTAATTTTATAACAAGTTAATTACAATCTGCATTGAGGTTTTACTGTTATTCCTTTTTATAATTCTCAGATCCCACCTAACCCAGGCAGTGGCTGACAATGGAATATCTTTTTAAGGTTTAGTGGGTGATACTGTACCAGGCGGTACTGGCGGAATGTAGGAAAGGAGCCTAGAGACTCTTAAAAAGTGTCTACCTTTTCTTACTTCTCTGCAGAGTTCACAAAAAAAAAAAAAAGTTTACTTTTCTTGCAGTTGTTAAGGGGGGCAAGATTTCTGCCCTTGTATATACACTGCTTCCCTACTGTTTTGTGGTACTGTCGCCTGTAAGAGGGAAGGAGATGGCTCTAGGTAACAAAACTGTACTCTCATCCTATATAAGAAACATCAGAATGGCCAGGCACAGTGGCTCATGCCTGTAATCCCAGCACTTTGGGAAGCTGAGGCAGGCAGATCATGAGGTCAAGAGATCGAGACCATTCTGGCCAACATGGTGAAATCCTGTCTCTACTAAAAATACAAAAATTAGCTGGGCATGGTGGTGCGTGCCTGTAGCCCCAGCTACTTGAGAGGCTGAGGCAGGATAATCACTTGAACAAAGAAGGCGGAGCTTGCAGTGAGCCAAGATTGCGCCATTGCACTACAGCCTGGCGACAGAGCAAGACTCCGTCTCAAAAAAAAAAAAACCCAAAAAAAAAGGTCAGAGAATTTCTCTGGGAAAATGGCATTGGAACAATACAAAAAACAACCACCAGTGCCCTCCTTCTCTTTCAAGCTATCTCCCTTTCTGAAGTGATCTACCACATTTCAATAACGCTTATCAGTTACTTAAGTCATATATTTCCAATTAAGAAAGTATCATATATGATCATGCACATAGCTTGATTATTTTTGCTAATGTATGTCTTCAGAGTAAATTCTCTACTAATACGTTCCTTGCTCTTAAGCAAATCAGAATTTCCGTTCAAATCTTGTCTTTTACCAGGACTCATAACTTAGCTTTCAAGTAGAAAGCCTTTATTTTTTTTCTTTCAGTAAAAAAAAAAAATGTGTGTGTGTGTGTGTGTGTGTGTGTGTGTATATGTGTATATATATATATATATACATTTTATATATATATATATATACACACATTTTATATATATATAAAATGCCAAGTTGTTTTTGTTGATGGAATAACATATATTATTTTATTCAAATACTGCTGGTATAAAATTATATTCCAAATTACCTTTTAAAATATACGGGGATTTGGCCACATGCTGACCTTGGAATTTAACTTCCACCTTCAGATTTTTGTAGCTTGCATACATTCTGTATCTTACTATGAAGGACCCATCTTTTCGGTCTAAAACCTGGACTCCTACTCTAGTGAATTGCTCCTCTGGCGCTGAGACTTTCACCTGGAAGACCTTTTCGCCTGGAGAAGATGTGAATCTGTGATGAAAAGGCGATGGGGAAAATAAACAGATTATTTTAATGAACAGACACACAACGATTATGCTCTTCCGTCTGGAAAGTTGATTATTCTCCTCCACATTCTTCCTCTAACATATAACTGCTTCTTTTTCTCTTATGCTTTTAGTACCAGAATGAATATGATGGATCAAAGATTTAAAAAAAATGAGGATGACAATGGCCAAGATAACATGGAACAGTTTCATTAAACAATCACAATGGAATATGTTAAGACTACTAGTCTATATAAGCATAGAACATACTCATGTATTCCATATAGAAAAATATTCTTACCAACTTATTTATTTCATGCCATCACATCTGGATATTTGTGATCAAACGGTGGTCCCAAAGATAATGATCTTATTTTGAAAAATCTCTGCCAATGAATCTTTACAATATCAGTATTATAAATCACGCTCAGGCCTGGCACTGTGGCCCATGCCTACTATCCCAGCACTTTGGGAGTCCAAGGCGGGAAGACTGCTTGAGGCCAGAAGTTCGAGATTAGCCTGGGCAACAAGGTGAGATCCTGTCTCTACAAATAATAATAATAATGATAATAATAATAAAATAAATAGCCAGGCGAGGTGGCACGCGCCTGTAGTCCCAGCTACTAGGGAGGCTGAGGTGGGAGGGTAGCTTCAGCCTGGGAGGTTGAGGATAGCTGTGATTGCACCACTGCACTCCAGACTGGGCTAGGAAGTGAAACCCTGTGTTAAAAAAACAAAAATCACGCTCAGCCATGGGCAAAAGCAAAGTAGTAGGTAGTGTATCATCTTTTGCCAAATAACAAAATTTACAACCTGTCTTTCACTTGACAACCTTTTATTCCAGTATTTTTTTCTGTACGAAATACACATGGTCAGCATCCACCAATAATAAAGACAATCATTTCAGAAGTATATGAATCATAAAAATAACTTTTAAGTATGATGTTAAAGTATTAAATTCAGTGGAACAAAATATTTGTTACAATCATATAGGAGATTAATACTTCGATACTTTCCTTCTGAACTCTAAAGTTTCAAATAGTACTTCATTTTTCTTTCTCAGTTTCAAAACATGCTTACCTGCAGATGTCTCCTTGAAAATTGAGAGCCGCACCAGAGAAAGATGAAGCCCATCAAGTCTCTAACAGCTAGGTTTAAATCCCTTATAAGGGCTTATGCGAAAAGTAGTTAGAAACAGTATTTCCAGCAAAGTGGAGGGACTTTGTCTTGCCCTGATAATGTGGGAATCCGAATCAAAATTGCTAGGAGATTATTTTATATGTTATATACAATACATTATATTGCATATATTATAATTCGGAACAATTTCTACAGCTACAGAGAAAAATTGGTACCCGAATATCCTGGAATTTAAACTGCTGTGGAGAAACGAGTTCTTGGAAAGATCAAAATTGCTAGGAGATTATTTTATATGTTATATACAACACATTATATTGCATATATTATAATTCGGAACAATTTCTACAGCTACAGAGAAAAATTGGTACCCAAATATCCTGGAATTTAAACTGTTGTGGAGAAACGAGTTCTTGGAAAGAAAAAACTTAAAGGGAGAAACAGATTTAACCGCCATCCAAAATAGGTAAGGAGCCGTTTCTCGACTTACTTATTCCCTGATGTATCCACTGCCTGAATATAGAAATAGCGGGCGGGAAGGACGACGTCTGCTTTTAGCCCGGGTCCCCATATTTCGCTCTTCTCCGGGCTCAGCTGCCTTTCTCCGCCGGTCTCGGCGAGTGCTGGAACCGTCGCCAGAAAGAAGCAATAAAGTAGCAAAATGCTAAACATTTACAAGACGGACTCTCGAAATGATCCACGGATAAATGAAGAAGTGTAAGAGGTGGACAGAAGCAGCCGAGGCTTCGGCAGGGGCACGCCGGCCGATCGCAGCAGCCAACGCGACTGCAAAGGGTGCCGCCCGGCGTGCAGGGCAGGCGCGCGGGTCTCCGCGGCCCCAGGACAATCAAAGCCCGTGCCCCGCTGCGCCCAGGTGAGGGTCCCCTGCCGTTCTGCTGTTCCGGCCGAGAACCGCGCTGTTCCTCTCTTTCAGGACAATGATGAACTTGAGTTGCTCCTGCCACTGGAGCATCTTTTGGGAGCGAATCCGTCTCAGGTTCCAGCCAAGGTGTAGGGCGAGGGGATTGGCCCGTGCGCGAGCCAGACTCAGTAAGGCCTTCTCCAAGTGGATAGCGGGGTGGACACGCGTCCCGGCGCCCCGGGCTCCCTGGGATATGTAGTTCGCGACAGGACGAGCGGAAATACTGCCAGGTTTTTACCACCTCTCGCCCATTTATTTACTTTTCCGTCACCGCTTTCGGGGGACAGATAAACACCACAGATGCCCATCAAAGGGGCGCACGGGTCTGGAGGCGCAGCTCAGGTTTTTGCGTTGGTCACCCTGTCCTCCGCACGTGCAGAGGGCAGGCATAAAGCACCTTGAAAGGAAGGTGCTGTCAATGCTATCCGACGACCTGTCGCCGGGCACCGCAGTCCAGAGCGCTGTCCTCGCGCGCTCCGATGGGACGAGGGACGCCGGCCCCAGGGTAACCGGAGGCGCCTCGCGGGCCGCGCGCTGGATGCTGTGATCCAGGTCCGGAGCCGGGTTCCGCCGCGGCCGCAGCGACCCGACCCCACCGGACAGGCCAGAGGTACCCCGGGGCGGGGGGCAGGGGCCGAGGTGGCGGCCAGCTTTGCGCCCTGAGCGCCTGGCCCTCCGCTGGGCACCTTGGCGCCGCCGGCCCGGCCTGCTGCCACTCTACGCGCAGCCATCTGGGCATTCAAAATTTTTATTTAATTCTATACCAGCCTGGGCTGCCAGGGGTCATCGCCTCTCCGGAGCCCCGTGGCGTCCAGATGCAGGCCACTGCATGGGTGCCCGCTCTCCCGGGAAGGAGTAGGGGGAAAAGCTGGGTCGCAGGGGGAAGAGAAGGACCAGGGAGAGAAAGGCCTAGCCCTCTGGTGAACAAAGCTCGATTGGGAGGTGTCCATCTGGATACCGGTGACCCCTGTGCTGCCGTCGGTCTCCACGCCACGCTGGGCAGGGTCCGGGAACCAGCGCGCGGCGGCTGTCGCCTTTCCCTGCATGCCCGCACCCGGGCCCGGGCCGCCGCCAGGAGTCACGGGCGCACCGCCCTGGTCAGCTCGGGAGTCGGACCCGGAGCCGCCTCCTCTGCCTACCTCCCTCTTGCCAGCTGCCCCGAAAACCCAGAAGGGCCGGTGGCTCCGCGCCAAGGCGGGCCTGGTCGGGCGCCAGGGCGGGGGGTTTCTTTCGTATTTTCTTTTGTGCAATTGTCATTATTAATGATATCGACTCGTTTACTCAAACACTCGAATCGGAACTCCAGCTCTTAGCCCAGATGCAGCAATTGCCCGCGGGCCCCCTTTAACACCGACAGCGTCCCTGGGCCCGGGGCAAGCATGTTCGAGGCGGTCACCCCCGGGCCTCGGCGCGCTCCCCCTGGTGGAGTGCCTCGTCTTCCGGCCGGTGAGGGAAGGTGGAGGCGGGAGTAGGGGCGAGGAGGCCTCGGCGGCCCTTGGGCGGTGCGGACCGGGGACTCGCGGTTCCCGCGACTCGCGCTGAGGCGCGGGCTGGGGTGGCAGCGGGCAGGGGGCGCAGCAGCGCTCCTTCCTCTCCGCCCACGTCTCCTCGGCGCGCACTGGTTCTGCGCGGCCGGGGCTTGGCCTGCGCGACTGTCTCCTCAGTCCTGGCGGACTCCGAGCTGGCCGAGCCACAAGCTTGTCAGAGGACGGTGGTGGGAACGCTCCCGGCCTCCCCAGGAGCGCGGGCTGGAGGCTGGCGCCAGGCGCGGAGGACTCCCGGTATCTTTTGACAGGCGGGCGCCTCGGCTCTGGGGACCCGCAGGTCTGAAGGGGAGGAAGGGGCCTGGAGGGCGCGGGAGGACACTGGGTGGGAAGGGTGGCATCAGCTCGGCTGGGGGCTGTGCGCCTCTGGTCTGGCCCTCCGGCACATATTCGACCTTTAGGAGGTCACCGGAGTGCCCCTGCTCCTCAGTTGTCTTCTATACAGAATATGGATCAGGGTATTTTGTCGTATGAAAAGGCTTTACTGAAGAGGGTTTTAGAGATGTTTGGTTCTCTCATAAACTTGATACTTGAGAATATAGACAGAATATAACCAGAAAAGTCTATAACCTAGGCGATGAAGGTTGGCTTTACAAATGGACGTTTATTTTACAGAACACTTCTTTCAGTGACTTTGAACAATCGTGACTCTGGCGGTGCTTTTAACGCTTGCCATTTTATAAATTTTTGCTTTGGATACAAGCAAAACATATTTCTATTGCTTATGACGTGATTTTATGTGTAAGCTATTAGTTGAGCCTGAGGTTCTGCAGTAATTCTTAGTAGTAAATCTTTTTTTTTGTTTTTTGAGACGGAGTTTTGCTCTTATCGCCCAGGCTGGAATGCAATGGCACAATCTCAGCCCACTGCAACCTCCGCCTCTCGCGTTCAAGCGATTCTCTAGCCTTGCCTCCTGAGTAGCTGGGCCTACAGGCATGTGCCACCACGGGCGGCTAATTTTGTATTTTGTATTTTTTTTCCAGTAGAAACGGGTCTCACCATGTTGGCCAGACTGGCCTCAAACTCCTGAACTCAGATGATCCACCCGCCTCAGCCTCCCAAAGTGCTGGGATTACAGGCATGAGCTACCGTGCCGGCTTAGTAGTAAATCTTAATATAGCAACACCTCACTTGCCTGGAAGAGGGAACCTCAATCAATCAAAATGAGGGCCTACAGGAATGCCTGACATGATGCAAACACTTAAAAGTTATCTGTTGAATGAGACGTCTACAAATGCTAGGCCCTGGGATACAATAATCTGGAAAACCAGACTTGCAGGATGCAGACGTTGATCATATAAACAGATACGCACAGAATTAAGTGTAAAATTGCCACCTGGTAAGACCTGTGCGAGGAAGGTACTGGAGTCTCTACCCGGTGACCTGGCCTAGTTTGAGAAGCCAAGAAAGTTTCCCCTAGAAAGTGACATTTCAGCTGACATTGGAAAGATGAATGGGAATTAACTAAGTAAGGGAGATAGTATGGGGAGAACCAAAAAGTAATGTGGAGCTTGGGGGATGGGGGAAGGGAATGAGATGGAGCTAACCAGGTAAATCTAGGGACCATCAGGAGTTGGCCTTTTGTTCTAAGAGCAGAGGCTTTCAGGCAGAGGAGTTCTGTGATCATATATATGTAGCAAACTTTATTTTCTAATATCTCTGCACAGGTCAGGTTAGAAGTGTCAACTCACTGGGAATGGTTTATAAATAGAGAAACAAAAGGAGTTACAAGATGAGTCAAAACAGTGACAGCTCAGTCTATTAAGTGGAGGGACAAACTGCCTCTCTATATCTCAGTATTGTCTATAATGATTCTGTTATTAGTATTATCAGTAATAAATTGTGCTTAGTGTACTTTAAGAAAGCTAGAATCTGAGCAAAGTACTGAGGATGCAATAATAGAAGCCCCCTTCGCCTCTTTGGGCTCTCACTGTAGTGAGAAAATAGACGTGAGACAGTGTGGAAAGAAAGTAAACACTAGCAGTGTTTGGGTCGTGGGATTTGGGTAATTTCCATTTTCCTGTAATATATTTTGGTACTTTGCATTTTTTTGTAATGTTTTGCTTATAAAATCTATGAATATTACATTTTCAAAGAGAAATTTACATAAATATAGTTTCCAATGAGAATGTTTCATGCCCTTGGATTTTAGTGACAGTCAATATAAAATGCATCCTTATGTTGATGATCTTCATTTTTTTTTGCTAAAACTTCGACCAAAGAGATCATCTTGTTCAGTGACTATTATTTAAAAGCAAACAAACCAAAAACACAAATAAAACCAGACTGTTACTTTTTTCTCTCTTTCTTTCCTTTTTTTTTTTTTTTTGAGACAGAGTCTTGCTTTGTTGCCCAGGCTGGAGTGCAGTGGTGTGATCATAGCTCACTGTGCAGCCTGAAACTCCTGGCCTCAAGCGATTGTTTCGCCTCAGCCTCCCAAAGCACAGATATTACAGGTATGAGCCACTGTGCCTGGCCCACACTGTTACAATTTATATTAATTGAGTGCTGTGCTCTATCTTTAGCTTCCAGGAAGCTCACCCCCAACTTTTGTGCTTAAATGCAGCCATTTCCCTTTGCCTGTGTTTTTGATAAGAATATTCTCCATGGCTGGGCATGGTGGCTTGTGCCTGTAATGGCAGCAATTTGGGAGGCTGAGGTGGGAGGATTTCTTGAGGCCAAGAGGTCAAGACCAGCCTAGGCAACATGGCATGACCCAGTTTCTTTAAAAAAAAAAAAAGATTATTCTATATATGTTCCAAATGAGCATACTTTTACAATCCCTGCTGGGCGCAGTGGCTCATGCCTGTAATCCCAGCACTTTGGGAGGCCAAGGCCGGCAGATCACCTGAGGTCAGGAGTTCCAGACCAGCCTGGCCAACATGGTGAAATCCCATCTCTACTAAAAATACAAAAATTAGCGAGGCATGGTGGCACCTGCCTGTAATTCCAGCTACTCCAGAGGCTGAGGCAGGAGAATCTCTTAAACCTAGGAGGCAGAGGTTGCAGTGAGCTGAGATCCCGCTATTGCACTACAGCCTGGGCAACAGGGCGAGATTCCATCTCAAAAAAATCAAATCAAATCAAATCAGATCCTTACACTGTCACACAGAGAGCTGGTCCCACAGGCAAAATTCCATTCAGTGTGAGGAAGGAAGCCCTGGGAAAGTGGAAGCCAAGTCTGAGATGAGGATATAAAAGGGGCGGTGCCTGGAACATTTCTGTCTCCCCACCAAACTCACTCCAATAACCTTTGCCTATTGCTTCTCACCCAGACCACATGCTCTTTCATTCCTCACCTCCCACAGCCCACCCCCACGACCCCAAAACCACAAATACCTACCTCTCTGTCCACCACACTGATGTAGAGAAAGGCATGAAGATCACAGATGAGAAGTAGAAAATGCTGTTAGGACACCTGCTAAGAATCAGAGCAACTCTGTCTTCCAAAAAGATAAGAGTTTGGTCTGAACAACGCCAGGTACTGAGCTTCCCTCTGCCATTATCATTGCACCACCAGATGAATAAGGAGACAGCATCAGCACTTCCACCTGAGGACCCACTACACCTACTCCAAGATTTTTTTTACCAAAAGAAAGTGAAAGCTTTCAAAGTGAAACCACGGGAGGTTCCACCTTTTGTGGTAATGTTCCTATCCAACTGACCCTCCTGCAAACAACTATAAACTCTGCAGAAATTCTTTTAAAACTGAAGGGTTTTTCTTTTTGTTTTTGTTTGAGACAGGATGGAGTGCAGGTCGCCCAGGCTGGAGTGCAGTGGTGCGATCCTGGCTCACCGCAACCTCCGCCTTCCAGGCTCAAGCAATTCTCCTGCCTCAGCCTCCAGAGTAGCTGGGATTACAGGCACACGTCACTACCGCCTGGCTAATTTTTAAATTTTCAGTCGAGATGGGGTTTTACCATGTTGGCCAGGCTAGTCTCGAACTCCTGACCTCAAATGAGCCACCCGCCTCAGCCTCCCAAAGTGCTGGGATTACAGTCGTGAGCCACCACACCAGGCCTAAAAACTGAAAGGTTGAATAGAGAAAAAGCATGCTTTAAAAGCATTTTTTAAGTAAAGAAAATGGAATTTTGCCTAGCACATGTGGAGTCCTAATATGCAGCTCTGTTTCCTTAAATTCCATGAAAGCCATGCAATACCTTTGCTAGTTTCTCCTCACAGATCAGGAAAACCGAGGGGGCTCTTGCGTGAATCATCTTCTATTTTCTTGCAACCTAACTCAGAGGCTTTTGTTGTTCAATATTTGTGTGATGGTTTTGATACTATTTTTTTGTAACCCATGACAGTTATTTTTATTTCTAATTTTTTAAGTAAGCAAATGGGCAGAGATATTAACTGGTAAAAGTTCAACTGATCACCCAGGGTGGATTGAATCTCTCGACTGATGCTCTGTTGCTGGAGCCCTGAGAAACCCACATACCCCGCCTGGGCACCTGCCTGGGGTTGTCTGCTGCGTGACCTGGGATGGTTCAAATCACCAAGGACTTCCTCTGGTATAAATCTTCAGCTTCCTTGCATGCCCTCAGTTGCTATTTAAGCTTTCTGTTTTCTTCCCTAAAGGAATCAGTTTAGACTTGAAATTCAGTTTTTCCTGAAACTGATCAGAAGTTAGTGACACCTTGATTGGATCCATTTTTCTGTCAGGTGATGAATCTTTGAAAAATTTCCTTTCTGTATTCTTTGTTGATTTAAATCTGTGGTCATTATTCATTATGTACCCTATATGCCTATGTACTTAAAAAATCTTGCTAATGCATTATTTTTTAGACAACTTTATGGAGGTAAAATTCACACACTGTATAATTTACCCATTAAGTTATGCAATTCATTGGCTTTTAGTGTATTTACAAAGTTGTGTGTTCATTGCCACAATCATTTATAGAATATTATTATTACAAAAAGAAACTCCGTCACCCCCAAACCTCAAGCCCTAGGCAACCATGAATTTACCTTCTGTCCCCATAGATTTGCCTGTTCTGGACATGTTATATAAATAGAATAATACACTATCTGATCCTTTGTGACCATCTTCTTTTACTCACTATAATGTTTTCAGGGTTCATCCATGTTGTAGCATGGGTCAGTACTTCATTTCTTTTCATTGCCAAACAATATTCCATTGTATTGATATACCACATTTTATTTATATGTTCATCAATTGATAGACATTTGGGTTGTTTCCATTTTTTTGGTCATTATGAATAATGCTGCCATTAACATTTGTGTGAAGATGTATTTTTCTTGTCTGTCATGGATATATACCTAGGCATGAAATTGCTGGACCATATGGTAACTCTGTTTAATTGTTGGAAGAACTGTTTTCCAAACAGCTGGACCATTTTACATTTCCACTAGCAGTGTATGAGGGTTATGATTTCTCCACATCCTCACCAACACTTTTTCTTACCTTTTTGATTATAGCCATTCTAGTGGGTGTGAAGTGTTATCTCATTGTGGTTTTGATTTGTATTTCCATGATGGCCAATAATACCAAGCATCTTTTCATGTGCTGATACTGAGCATCTTTTTATGTGCTTATTGGCCTTTTATTTTATTTTATTTTTATTTTTGAGACAGTGTCACTTTGTTGCCCAGGCTGGAGTGTAGTGGCGCGATCTCGGCTCACTGCAAACTCTACCTCCCAGGTTCAAGCGATTCTCATCTCTCAGCTTCCCTCGTAGCTGGGACTACAGGCACGTGCCACCATGCCTGGCTAATTTTTGTATTTTTAGAAGAGACGGGGTTTCACCATGTTGGCCAGGCTGTTCTCAAACTCCTGACCCCAAGTGATCCGCCATTCTTGGCCTCCCAAAGTGTTGGATTACAGGCGTGAGGCAGAGGTGGGCGGATCACTTGAGGTCGGGAGTTTGACAACAGTCTGACCAAGATGGAGAAACCCCATCTCTACTAAAAATGCAAAATTAGCCGGGTGTGGTGGTGCATGCCTGTAATCCCAGCTACTTGGGAGGCTGAGGCAGGAGAAACACTTGAACCCGGGAGGTGGAGTTGCGGTGAGCCAAGATCGCGCCATTGCACTCCAGCCTGGGCAACAAGAGTGAAACTTTTAGAAAAAAAAAAAAAAAAAAAAAAAGGGCTATTTGCTTTTTAATTATTTTTTAATTATTTAAAAATAATTTAGTGCATTATTTTAGACTAATTTAAAAAATAAGATAGTGATCATGACTCCAGTCATATAGTAGTTGTAAAATTAATATAGAATGAAGGCATATGTATGCATAAAACTTGCTATGCTTTTTAGTGCTGTTTGTGTATCTGGTGGATTGTTGATCATTCTTTTTCCTTCCTCTTAGGAGCTCATTTTGTGACTCTCAAGCTTTTATAGCATGCTGTAAACAATTGTCAAAGTTGTTTATCAAGAAACAGAAAAAGTTGCAAGTTCTTTCTAGTAATAGAAATTTTACACTGCATTCAATGCCTAACGTTGCAGAAACAGAAAGGTCAAATGATTCTGGAAATGGTGAGCACAAATCTGAGAGACAGTCACCTGAAGAGAATCTACAAGGTGCTGTAAAATCTTTCTGCACAAGTGCCTCAGGAGCACCCTTGGGTCCCAAAGGAGATGGTCATTATCCATGGAGTTGTCCAGTGACTCATACTCGGGAAAAAATTTATGCCATCTGTTCGGACTATGCCTTCCTCAACCAGGCGACCTCAGTCTATAAAACTCCAAATCCATCCCGCTCTTCTTGTCTCCCTGATAGTACCTCTTTATCTGCTGGAAATAATTCATCAAGATACATTGGTATCCCGACTAGTACATCGGAAATAATCTACAATGAAGAAAATAGCTTGGAAAACTTATCCAACAGCCTAGGCAAGCTACCTCTTGCATGGGAAATTGATAAATCTGAATTTGATGGGGTGACCACAAATTCAAAATACAAAACAGGTAAGGAGGGAGCCATGAGGTTCATATGTGAAAATAATGAGAAAACAAACACTAAGTGTTGTTTAATCTTGCCATTACACAGTAAAACAAACACTGTGTCTTGTTTAATCTTGCAGTTACACATAGTTTCCTTTTATAATACTAAATAATGAACATGGCTATCATCTTGTCTGTCACTGTAGTTTTGGGAAAGTAACCTTGACATAGGGCTTGTAGTTCATTACAGGGTTTCCACTGGAAACTTCAAGCATAACTTTTGTATTAAATTATTTTGAGAGCTTTGAAAATCTAAGAATGCTGTACAATGTTATAGATAAACAGATGATAGCTTAGAAAAGGTTAATAATATGGCTAGAATAACTTAGTACTGTTTCATAGTTTTATAGGCATATGAAGTCACATTTCCTGACCAAACATCTCCTTTTCCTACTATGTAATGTTTTAGCTTTTTTTGGTTAAAATTTTTGAGGCACCCAGCAAAGCCTCCATGTACCACTGAGTGGGTTGTATACTGCTCAGTTTAAGAGGATGCTGTTTACCTAGGTTGTGCATAACTTTCGCAGTTGCAATGGGGTGGTCCTGTGGCAGATAGAAAGACTTCACACTTCTTTCTTTTGAATTCAAAGTAATACAGGAATTTTATGAGGCAGGTACTGCTACCCCCATTTGTAGGTGAAGAAATCGAGGCTTAGAGGGGATAAATTTCTAGACCGAAGTTGCAGAGTTGATAACACGTCAAACTAGGATTTGTATTTTACTTCTAGGCTTCTTTGATGATTTTGTAAAACCTTAATGCTTCCGCTTGTTCATCTGCAAAATCAACTTGTTTCATAGAATGTTATGTAAATTTGTAATTCTCAAAGGTAGGAGGGGGATTTTGCTTTTTTGTCTAAATTTGTAAGTAATGAGCCTGTAGTTTTCTTTTTGTCTAATGCCTTTGTCCAGTTCTGGAATTAGGGCTATGCAAATCTTTGAAGAAAAGTTGGGAAGTGTTCTTTCCTCCTGTTTTCTGAGGATTTTCAGAGAGATATTAAAATCTCTGTGTATAATTATGGAGTTGTCTTGATTTCTGTTAATTTCTGACGAATTTTAATTTATCCATGTCATTTAAGTTGTCAAATTTGGGGGCTTAATGTTATCCCTCTAACATCTAAGGAATCTTTATTGACAACTCTTTTTGCATCCTAATACTGGTAATTAATTTATTTTCTCTATTTTTAAAAACTGATCAGTCTAGCTAGGAGTTTATCAATTTTGTTCATCTTTTCAAATAACCAGCTTTAGCTTTGTTCATTTTCTCAATTGTTTGTTTTCTATTTCATTGGTTTCTGCTCTTTATTATATCCTTCCTCTGACTTACTTTGGGTTTACTTTGTTCTTCATTTTCTGACTTCTTAAGATGGAAGCATAGATTATTGATTTTAGACTTTCCTATCATAAGCATATAATACCCCGAATTAGTCTTTAAGTACTGCTGTAGCTGCAGCCCACAAATTTGATATGCTTATTATTATTATTTAATTTGAAATATTTTCTAATTTCCTTTGCAATTTATTCTTTGATACATGTATTACTTAGATGTATGCTGTTTAATTTCTAGATATTAATAGTTTTTCTAAATATTGATTTCTAGTTTAGTTCCATTGTGGACAGAGGGCATATGCTCTCAGTCTTTTTAAACTTACTGAGGCTTGTTTTATGACCCAACATATGGTCTATCTTGGTGAATGTACCATGTGCACTTGAAAAGAATGTGCATTCTGCAGTCATTGGGAGTATCTATAAATATTATTTATGTCAAAGTGTCTGAAAGTGTCATTCACATCTTTTGTGTCTCTGCTTAACTTGTGTCTTTTCCATCAATTGCCGAAAGAAGGGTGTTAAAAATCTTCAACTATGATTGTGAAGTTGTCTTTTCTCCATTTAATTTCTTTTTAAAAAACTAATACATGTTTAATAACAGAAAATTTACCATCTTAACCATTTTTACGTGTACAGTTTAGAGGCATTAAGTCCATTTACGTTGTTGTGCAGCCATCATCACCATTCATCTCCAAAATTGTACCCATTAAACAATAAATCCTCATTCCTTCTCTTCACACTCCCTCGAAACCACCATTTTACTTTTTGTCACTGTGAATTTGACTATTCCAGGTACCTTATATAAGTGAAATCATACAATGTTTGTCTTTTTATGACTGGTTTATTTATAGCTATCCTTGCTCTCTTCTGGGTGCTGTTTGCTTTGGATACCTATTTCCATCCTTTTACTTTCAGCCTATTTGTATCTCTAGATCTAAAGTGAGTGTTTCAGAGAAAGCATATAGTTAGCTATTTTTTTCTGTTTCTTTTTTTGTGTGTGAACTCACATATACAAAAACATATTTTTTTAAACCCATTCTACCAATCTCTGCATTTTGAGTGGAGAATTTAATCCATTTACATTTAAAGTAATCACTGATAAGGAGAAACTTTTGTCATTTTGCTACTTGTTATCTACATATAAAAACTCTGTTCCTATACTGCTTAATCTCCACCCACTTTCAGTTACTGATGTTATAAAATTACATTTTGTACATTGTGTGTCTGAAAACATAAACTAATAATTTTTATGTATTAATCTCTTAAATAATGTGGAAAAGAAAATGTGGAGTTACAAACCAAAGTTATTATAATAATAGCTTTTTTATTTTTATTTTTTATTTTGAAATAGGGTCTTGCTCACTTGCCCAGACTGGAATGCAATAGCACGACTATGGCTTCCTGCAGCCTTGACCTCCTAGGCTTAAGCAATCCTCCCACTTCAACCTCCTGAGTAGCTGGGACTACAGGTGCACACCACCACACCTGGCTAATTTTTAAATTTTTTGTAGAGATAGAGTCTCACTATATTGCCAGGGCTGGTCTTGAACTCCTGGGCTCAAGCAATCCTCCTGCCTTGGCCTTCCAAAGTGCTGGGAATACAGGCATGAGCCACCGCTCCTGGCCTACTACTAGCTTTTAAACTAATAATAATTTTTCAAAAATGTATTAGTCTCATAAATCATATGGCATACAAAAACTGGAGTTGCAAATTAACAAAATAACACTGGCTTTTGTAATTGTTCGTGTATTACCTTCACTCAGGTAAATTTATTTCTTCCTGTGGCTTTGAGGTACTAGCTAATGTCCTTTGATTTCAACCAACAGGAATCCTTTTGGCATTCCTTACAGGGCAAGTCTAGTGATAATAAACTCTTTCAGTTTTTGTTTGTCTGGGAATGTCTGAATTTCTTCTTCACTTTTGAAGGACAGTTTTGCTGGATTTAGGAATCTTGTTTGAAATTTTTTTCTTTCAACACTTTGAATATATCAGCCCACTTCCTTCTGACATCCAGTTTCTGATGAGAAATCTGTTGATATTCTTATTAACAGTCCATTGTATGTGATGAATTGCTTCTCTTGTGGTGCTTTTAAGAGTCTGTCTTTGTCTTTTTGCAATGTTTAAATTTTTTAATTTGAGGCAGAGTTTTGCTCTTGTTGCCCAGGTTAGAGTACAATGGCACGATCTTGGCTCACCACAACCTCCACCTTCTGGGTTCAAGCGATTCTCCTGCCTCAGCCTCCCAAGTAGCTGGGATTACAGGCATGTGCCACCATGCCTGGCTAATTTTCTATTTTTAGTACAGGTGGAGTTTCTCCATGTTGATCAGGCTGGTCTCGAACTCCTGACCTCAGGTGATCTGCCTGCCTCAGCCTCCCAAAGTGCAGGGATTACAGGTGTGAGCCACTACACCCGGCCTTGCAATTTTATTATATCGTATATTGGTGTGGGTCTTTCTAAGTTCATGCTACTTGAAATTTGTTGAATTTCTTGGATGTTTACATTCATGTTTTTTAAAATCAAATTTGGAAAGTTTTTAGCCATTATTTGTTTGGATAATCTCTCTACCCCTTTTTCAGGGTCTTCTCTTTCTGGAACTTCTGCAATGTGTAGGTTGGTCCACTTTATGGTGTCCCCAGGTCCCTTAAGGTCTGTTCACTTTTCTTCAGACCTTTTTCTTTCTGTTCCTCATACTCAGTTATTTCAGTTTTCCTATCTTCAAGGTCACTAATTTTTCTGCCTGCTCAAATCTGCCTTTGAATCACTCTAGTGAGTTTTTCATTTCAGTTATTATATTTTTCAGCCCAATAATTTCTTTTTGGTTTTCTTCTAAGTTTTCTATCTCTTCATTGATATTTCCATGTTCTTCATACATACATCTTTCTTTAGTTCTTTTAGCATCTTTAAGATAGTGGTTTTAAAGTCCTGTCTAGCAAATCTGCCATTTGGTCTTTCCAGAGATGGTTTCTGTTGGTTTATATATTTTTTTGTTTCTTTGAATGGGCCTTATTCTGTTTCTTGTGATTTTTTGTTGTTGTTGGAAACTAGACATTCAAATGTTATTTAATAATGTAGTAACTCTGGAAATCAATACCCCTCTTTCCCAGAGTTTGTTGATTTTAGTTTTTGTTTTTTGATTGCTATAGGCTGTTTCTATGCTGGTAATCAACCTGAGGTATACATTTAAGGGCTTCTCGGGGAAAAGCCCCTGCCTTTCTCTGAGTGTGTACAGTGATTTTCTAAATTTCACTGTATAAGTGATTGCTTCTGAATATACTGTTTTTGAAATGTCTGACTCCCTAAAGGGAAAATGAAGAGAAAAAAAAAATAGAACAAAAAAACCACACCAAAGGTGCTGGCCCCTTAAGTCCTCTGGAAGTTACTTCAGTTGTAGTGGGAGAGGCTTGCAACACTGGAGGGAGAGTTGCAACAATGGCTGACCCCCTGTATCTGTGCTTTCAACATCAGAAGCAGCAGTCAGCAATCAGAACACAGGTTCCCAATTTTAGTAGAACATGGACCTTTTTGCCCACCATGGTTCCCACAAACTGCCTGGAGCTTCTCCAGGAACATGTGCCCAGTTGCCTGGACTTGGGGATAGGTACTTGTACCTTGCTATGTCCTGAAATTGACCAAAATTTGCATTTACTGTTCAGGACTTCCTCTGAAAGTTGCAATCCTTTGAATAGACTCTGGAATTCCAAAATATTTACATCAGACAGGTTCTGCCAGTGCAGTTGTCTAAGTGGGGAGACAGATTCCTGGTGCCTCCTACACTGCACTTAATTCTGTTAATTTTTTAAAAAATGTAATTTGAAGCTCTGTTATTAAGTTCACGCACATTTATGAGATTTATGCCTTCTTCCTAAATTGACTCTTTTATCATTATGAAATATATTTCATTATTCCTGGAAATTTTTCCTGTCTGAAAGTTACTTTGTTTGATATTAATAAAGCTCCTCAGCTTTATTTTGATTATGTTTGCATGGTATATATTTTTCCATCTATTTATTTTAGTTCTAGAATTTACATTTTTATAGCTTCTATTTCTTATCTGAGATTTGCTATATTTTTCATTTATTACAAGAGCATTTTATCTATGTCATAATGCATAGTTATAATATCTACTTTAATGTCATATCTGCAAATTTCAAAATCTGGCTAATCTCAGAGTAGGCCTTATCTTTTTTCTTGAGAATAAGTCATATTTTTCAGTTTCCTTACATGTTCTATAATATGTCATTGTATCCTAGATAGTGGGACTATTATGTTATGGCAACTCTGGTATATTCCTTCAAAGTGTTGATTTTTTTTTTTTTTTGGTTTTGGGAGGCAGTTAATTTGATTGAACCAGAACTGTAAATTCTGTCTCCTTGGTACAGCTCCAACCATCTCAGTTCAGTTCCTTTAGCTGTGTTGCTTGGGTTTGCTCCTTGCAGGCATGATCCAGGCGTCAGTCCAGGATTTGGGCCAAATTTATACACAGAATTTGGGCCCCCTCTTCTCTGTGGCTGTCTTCTTTATGGGTTCCCTCTCACCTCACTTTCAGTGATGGTGATTGCACAGGACTCTGTCCTTTGGTTCTTCCAGTAAAAAAAGACAGTGGATTTTCTGCTTTTATTTGCTCTTCTCATACCTTTTTCTAAAAGTCTGTGTGGTGAATACATATATTTGTGTGTGTGTGTGTGTGTGTGTGTGTGGTGTTGAGGCTGTGTGTGTGTGCTGTGGGTAGGGTGAGGAATGGAAGAAGGAACTCGGTAATGAGAAGGAGCAGTGGGCGAAGGTTCTTGGAGCTGATGTGATGGGAGGCAGAAGGTGCAGGTGTTGCTCTTTTATGTTCCGATCTCAAACTGAGCTTTCACTTTGATGTGGCTTCTTTCCCTCAAATCGAATCAACTTGTGCCTGTGGGACCTGCTCTTTCTGTGGCAGTGCGGAGATTTTATGAAGTATGCTCATTTGGACCGTATATCCTCATTGATCCCAGGGGCAATCGTAGATTCAGCAAAAAGAGAATGGGGGCAAGGTCATGGAACCCTAGAGGAAAGTGTGAGTGCAGACTGTTTGCAGAGCCTATCAAGGTCACACATTTCCATGTTTCATTAGCCTTAAAATTTTAAGTGGCTGGGAAAACTACTTAGGGAATTAAGTCATTATTAGGCAGTGAAGACATCTCAAGAAATGTGAGAAACTCATTCTTCTGTCATCTGACTCTCTAAGAGTCATTTTACCAGTCAAGGAAATTTGGCACAATGAGATTTGGCGCAATTGCTCAGCTTTGCCAGTGATGTTCAGCTCTGTGAAAAGTGTGTTCTCTGTAAAAACTTAGAAAAAATAATTAAAAGGGTTGAGCACGGTGGCTCACACTTGTAATCTCAGCATTTTGTGAGGCTGAGGCAGGTGGATTGCTTGAGCTCAGGAGTTTGAGACCAACCTGGGCAACATAGCGAGACACCAACTTTATTAAAAATACAAAAATTAGCTGGGCATGGTCACATGCACTTGTGGTCCCAGGTACTCCCGAGGCCGAGTAGGAGGATTGCTTGAGGCCCGGAGACTGAGGTTGCAATGACTGGAGATTGCATCACTGCACTCTTGTCTGGGCAACAGTGCAAGACCTTATCTCAAAACAAACAAACAAACAAAAAGAATAATTAAAAGGAAGGTAAAACATTGTTTCTTGACTTTATAGTCTTATTATTACATTTTTACAGAAATTCCCTGGTAATAGTAGTTCCTGAGTTCCAGCTGTTCCTAGGTGCCAAATGGTTTCAGTGTAGAGTATCTTGAAGGAATAAAACCGATCTCTTTCTATGTTTGCTTATTAGGCGCATATGTATATAATCTGTTTTATAATTTATGAATGACTCATAAAAATGAAATATTAGCCTTCAGTTAATTTTTATAACAGAACTGTTGTAAAATAGAATATCTGTGAAAGATTAAAGTATTTGAGCATAGCTATCTGAAATCTTAATAGTATTTTAATTAAATGGGGCTTGGATGTTATTTATTGATATTTTACTTTATATACCTTTTTTTACTAGATATTTCACTAACAATTTAGAAATAAAACATATAAAAAGTATAGGGATGGATACCCCATTCTCTATGATGTGGTTATTTCACATTGCATGCTTGTATCAAAACATCTCATGTACCCCATAAGCATGTACACCTACTATGTAATCACAACAATTAAAAAAATTAAAAAGTACAAATTCTCACTCTTACTTTTGGCTCCCTTTTGTCTAGCTCCCAATTCTCCCTTCCCCAGTAGTAACCACTGTTGTTTGTCTTGAGGGTCTTTTGGAGAATGTATGTGTGTGTGTGCATGTATAAGTGTGTGTAGGTACATGGATACATACATGCATATATGCACACAGGAGGCTTTGCTTTTCATTCTAGTTTCTGTGCTAAAATTGCATTTTTGTAGTGTACATATGTGCATCATTCTTCATTCATTCTGTTGTCTCTGTAAGCCCAGAGATATTTTTAAACATCACATAATCACATTATTGGATCTGGTGCTTTTACTTTCTTAACAGAGTTGCATTAATTTGGTTTTATTGTTTTATAGAAAGCCTTCATTTTCTGGAAAGTGGTCTAGTTAAATTTTTTACTGTCGATAATTTGATTTTCTAGATGTGGCTAAAGATTTAGTGATTGACCATTTCACCAACTAAGTGACTAGCTCTGGAGTTGGAGTATAAGAACGTGACACGAAATAGAATTCATGGTTGTTTAAATTTGTTTTTATTCTCTCTTTCTGTTTAAGGTAGGGGACTATTATTGAAAATACATGTATTACTTCACTGTGTTTGCAAATATCATTTTTAGAACCGGTGGCAGTTATTTATTTATTGTTATTTTTTCTTTATACTTTCTCGGCAGAATTATTAAGGCAGTTACTTCTGAATTTTGGTGTATAATTTTTGTCATTTCAGTTTACTTCATCTTAAGCATTCTGCTTATTTTATACTCTTGTATTCTAGGCAATGCAAAGAAACAAGTTTCCAAGAGAAAAACTTCAGATAAAAAGGGAAGATATCAGAAGGAATGTCCTCAGCATTCTCCTCTTGAAGATATTAAACAGCGAAAAGTATTAGACCTTAGACGATGGTGACGTTATCAGTTTTTATTTTTTTTCATTTTTGAAATATGTAATATATGTTGGCGATAACTTAGCACTTTACAAATTCATACATTATATGTATCATAAATATTTTTATTTCTAAAATTATTACCAGGATTTCTGAATCTTTAAAGTCTACCACAGATATTTGAAGTAGATTAATCATGTGCTATGCTGGTCTTTCCCAAACTCGGCTGGTCATTAGAGTCATCTGTGTGACTCCACATAACTGCCATCTAGATTTAACAATGATTAACCTTTTGATGTAGTTACATACTTAGCTTTTCATTGCTGAAGAATTTTCAAGTAAGTGACTATTTTTTATCATATTTAATCTCAAGTTACCTAAGTATGCATCTCTAAAAAATGACTTTTTTCTACTTAACCACAATACTTTTGTCATACCTAATAAGATTAATAATATTTCCCTAGTGTCTAATTCCCAGGCTAAATTCACATTCCCCAGATTGTTCTGAAAAGGTCTTCACATCTGTTTGTTCAAAGTGCGACCCAGTTGTGAACCACACGTGTGCGTGTCATGACCCGTAATTGTCTCAATCTAGGACAGTCTCCACCCCACGTTCCCCCTTTTCTTTTTAAAATTCTATTTATTTTAATCAACAAATGATAATTGTAAAGATTGACTTATTGAAGAGACTTGGCCAGATATTTTGTAGAATGTCCTACATTCCAGATTTGTTTTTTCCTTTTAGTTTCCTAAATTATTCATCTAACCTCAATATTTCCTGTAAACTGGAAGTTGAATATAAAGACTTGGTTAAATTCCAGTACAACATTTTATGCAAGAACACTGCTTAAGTGGGCCCTCATACTTCAAACGTTTCACATGAGAAGTCACATGGTATCTGATTACCTAATCTTAGCAATTCTAAGTGATTACTGGGTTAAGGTGGTGACAGTTGTATTCTACATTGATGAGTTCTTTCTTTCCCGTCTGCTACCCTCAAGTAATCAGTAGGGTGACAGAGTGGCATTAGGTAATAGCCAGGTTCCGTCAACTTTTTACGTTATGGGTTTAGCCAAATGTATTGACAACCCAAACTCATTGATGATCCTTGTCTGAATATTTGTTGCAAAATGGTTACATTTCAAAATTCCATTTTTTTTTTTTTTTTTT